TATTCTAATTCTAAATCAAGTGACAAAAGAATTTATGGGCTGCACATTTCAAAATAATTTCAGATGTGGAATTATCTCTAAAATGCTCAAAAAGCCTGAAGAAGTTGATTTGTTCCTGATGGTAATTTCTTTCTTTCCCATCTTTACTCCAATAATAAAATTGTTTCATCAAAGCAGGCTTATTAAAAAAAAAACAGACTCAGCCCTGGCTGGTGTGGCTCACTGGACTGAGAACCAGCCTGCGAACCAAAGGGTTGCAGGTTCAATTCCCAGTCAGGGCACATGCCTGGGTTGCAGGCCAGGTCCCCAGTATGGGGTGCATGAGAGAGGGAACCACACATTGATGTTTCTCTCCTCTTTCTCACTCCCTTGACCTTTCCAAAAAATAAATAAAGTCTTAAATAAAAAAAGACTCAAACCTATTTCATATATTAGGACATTAGCATATTAGAAATATGAAGCCATTCTCTCTCTTGAAATCAATCCCTGCTTCACCAATAGTAAATATTTGTTACTTTCTGTAAAAAAAAAATGAATAAACAGGTTGGAGGCAAGGAGTTTGGGAGGAACAGTCTTGTTTCTAGTGAAGAAATATGTAACCCAGGAGACATTTGGGTTCCTTATGCTATGAAGCTGAAGTAAAATTGAAAAAAATAATTTTAATTCTCAATAAAGAAAATGTGATATATAAATGAATATGGTATATATTTGATTAAATTATACTTCAATCAGATATCAAGAAAATAGTACTCAGCTGATGGTATGGTAATATAATGGTTTGCAGCTCAACTTGTATAAAATAATTTAAGTCTTTAAATACATACAATCATCCTTTTAGGAATTATAAAATAGAGAATATATAAAATAAAAATTTTCTTTTCTTTCATCCCTTAAAAGAGTAGAGAACAGGAGAGAGTGAGATGAAATTGTTAAGTGGCATGTTTTGAAGATATTTCACATCTGACTTAAAAATGAATTGTTCATTGTTTTTTGAAGAAAATGACTTTACTGTATATTTGATGCATTCAGGGAAGACATAAACAAGATTTTACTTGATAACCATAAATACAAATTCATAATAAAATTAAAATCTTTTTGGTTGGAGTAATCCAGGTGAATATGGACATTAGTATGAGATTAGCATCTATATAAATGATACCAATATAATGAAATTCTATGGAAAAAAGTTCCCTAATTTTCTGTTTCATGCTTCCTATGTAATCACCACCTATTAGTTGTCATAACATACTGAGCTTCAGCTTCTTAACAAGTATGTATGTGAGTCTTAGGTTGCTTTTCAAATTTGTACATTGGTTCTATCACAACCTGGGTGGTGAAACATCAGGTGTATGCCATCTCTTATATCATTTTATTGCAACTTATGGGCTTAGCCACATTTTGAAAATGATGTAATTCATTCAATGAACAATTCTGTACATTTATTTAGACATCAGTTTTAGAGATTTTTTTTTAGACACATATGAGCACAAAACCAGCAATAAACCAGCAGCTGTGAAGATTTGGCATGGAATATGGCCTAAACTTTTCATGGAGATAAATCATATAAATTTTAATTATTCCATATGGTCTCAGTAGTAAATACTCTGCAGTCTCTCTGTGCTACTCATCTTCCAGTATCCTGTAGATTTCAAGAGTAGCTTTTGGGGTTAAATTATGAAAAGAAGTAGGCAATAAATATATGTGCCTAAAATTACAAAGAACAAAATTTTACTATTTTCTGTCTCCAATGTGATCCCAATACAAAAGAACTATTAAATAATTGTTGTTGTGGAAACAACAGCAGATTAGAAGCCAATTACTAATTTGGAGTCAAAACCAACAAAAACATAAAAAGCATTAAATAAATAAAAAGTGTAATTTACTTGAAAATTTAATATTAGAATACTGGCACAGGATGACCACGTTTTAAAATACTCTTGGAAAAGTCTCAGTATGCCAGCGTGCTCACAGGGTCTCTACAGTTACCTTTGACATGAGCTTCTATGGTTTCTTTTCTGTGACATGGTCCTGAGATCTTTCATATACTAAGAAAGTGTTAAGTAGAAATATATATTCACTTTTTTAAACTCATTTTCATTTAAATTTGGCATGATTAAACACTTAGGTTTCCTTGAAATTTCTTGGATACAGCAATAGGTAAATTTTGTAAATTTTGAGATAACGCATTACCTTTTTCAACTTAAAATATGTTTAGGACATCTACCACACCTATTTTATTTGAAAAGCAAACTGTTCTTATTGGGTAGTATGTCATGATTTTCTTCTTTGACTCAGCACAGCTGTACAATTTTACCATTAGAAAATCAGGTCTCCTTTGTAAAATATATGATGGCTGATTTTACTTATATTTCCACATTCTACTCACTCATTTCTTTACACGTGGTCCCCTAGACCTCTATTTATTTTACCAATAATATGAAGTTTAGGAATTGTCATAACTTATGCATGCATTTTTTTTCCTGCTCAGATAAACTAAGTATATGAGAGTGAATTTTAAGGCCAATGAACTTAAATTTGGAAATAGGCCTACTCTCCTATAATGACTATAGATGTCCATTTCCAAAACACATCTAGAGCCTCTGCACAATGTCTATGAAATCTAACCTTAACTATCATCCCAAGATTAAAATTATTTGACTTCTATTTCTTGTCAGATTTTCCCTGGACTAACAAGTGGCTGCCTAGATAACAAAACTCACATGCTCCTTCATAATTTCTTCCTTTTCCACCTCAAAAACCTGCCATTTTTCTACTCCTACCAGGTCCGTGGAATATTAATTTATTTTGTGGTTAAGAATAAGTCTCAGGCTCTTTCATCTTTATGCATTTCTGTGGTTGAATAAAAAGGGATTTTTCTTTGACAGTAATCTCCATTATCTCTTGGATTTATCAGTATCTTAAATTATTAATACAAATAAAGCACTTTGTTGTGCAGCAATATGACACTACATATTTGAAGATAAATTCGTATTTCTGTAATTAAATAAGCAGGGACCATTCACTTCATCAGCCTGACAAAGTGTAATGGCATAAAGCACTTCAGCCGTGTGGTGGCTCCTTGTCGATGGCACTCGGGTTTGGCAGACATTTATTCGTTCATTCACTGAACAAAGTTTGAGCATTTTCTGTATCCCAAGTGCGGTACTAAGTGTTGGGAGAAATAACCACGTTGCGTTCACACCGTTCAAATCCACATTGTACTGTATCTATCTGATTATAACCTAGAGTCAGAAGACCACTCAAGATGTAAAGCCTTTTTATTACAAGGTCATATAAGTGAACTTTTTTTCTGAAGTAGATGGTTTTGTCTCATACCTCAAGGAAGTGACCTGTGGGATAATCCAACTAAGGCATAGAAAGATTTTAAAATGGGGTGTTCATATAGGTCATTTATCACCATTTTTTCCAAAACCTACATTCACAGAACTATCATGAGTACTCCCAGCAGATCTCATCTTCTTACTCAGTTTGACATGGTCATTTAAAATGACCATTCCTGACTGACCTAGGCTGGTATAAACAGTAATCTAATAGGTACATGGTAACTGTTAAAGCTAATTCTTTTCCAAACACCTACAAAACTCAAAGACAAATGGAGTTACTATAAAAAAAATCTCAAGTTTTTTTTTTAACTAGGAGAGCAATAAAGTAACCTGGAGATTAGAATCATGAGAAAATGTTAATTAGTTTACAAAATGAATGCTTCCAAGAATACAAAGAACATTTTGTGTAGGGTTAACTTAAAAGATTGTTGTGTTTGTTGGGAAAATGTTTTTAAAAAGTACAATTATCAAAATTTAAAGTAGTGATCTACTTGTGCCTAAAAGATATAAAGCTTAGCTATTAAGGTTGTATACATGTAGACTATAACAAAAATATTTAATGATAAGTATTTAGATAGAGCTACTCTGAGGGGAAGGCAGAGAAAGTACTGCAAGGAAGGTCAATATTATTATTTCCTTATTCAATAAATTGGCCAAACTATGGAAAGTCTTTATGGAACTCTCAAAATGTTATTGGTCTTAGAATCAGAATTAGTATTTAAATATCCCAAAGACTAGAGAATACTTTTGGTAGAAAAATCAGAGATAATTAACTAGAATACTTATATTTAATGCTCAAATTAGTCCTTAAATGCATTCTGAAAAGTCATTGCACTGACCCTCATGGTCAGGTTCACAAATCTTCTCCAGGCTTGTAGGAATTAAAGGTATGTTCAAAAGGAAGAATGTTCAGCAGTTTGAACAGTAACAAGTCCACACATACTTAAAATAAATGAAATTGGCTCTTATTCAGATAGTAAGTAAACATAATTACCAACACAGCCAAAACTTAAACTTTGTAACCTTCACAGCTAATTTACATATTGAAAAATACTTAAATAACATTAATACCAATGAACATTGTAGATACATTTTTTAATCTTAGTTCAACTTTTTAGAAAAGTGTAAGGGGGCAAAAGAGTGACACAGAGAGAAAGAGAAGTAGAGAGTGAAAGAGAACACAAAAGACCGAGGACTCTGAACAGAACCAAACAGTTGCCTTGTCTTCAATGATATACACATTAAACCCACTGTGTGCTCAGTATACTGGAATAAGAACTTTCCCCACCCACCCAGCACAGATGAAGATCATTTATAAATAATCACATATTCAGCTACAAATGGCAGAGAAGCCAAAACACTAGACTGTTATTTCATATATTTTCCTTTGTTTTTCAGTACTTTTGGCACAGGTAATTATCTATGCTGGGAGCATTCAGTCCTACATCAAAAATTCTACTTTGATGCATAAACAATGGCAAGCCAGAGATGCCTAAATTCACAGTAAGGTTTAAGGCTATTTGTTGCAGAAAGCGGTGAACATGCAAATTGATTAAGTGTTTTCTTTCATGCTCCTGTCTGTATTATTTCATTGGATAATGAGATAGGCTGGCCTTTCTGTTCATCATTAGAGCAGCAGGAGACAGCATTTGCTACCTGGCAAAACTTCCGAAGAAGAATCTTTCTTAGCAGCAGATAGACCCAGGGATCCAAGATCTGGTTCAGCGAAGCCAGGCGGACAGCTATTAAGAAGAAGTTGCACTCTTTCTGCTTTTCTGGTTGTGTCTTGCAGTGCTCAACTGATGCTTGATTGAAGATCATTTTCAACATCATTATCTAAGAAAGAAGGACAATAATTGTCCCAAAGGTTAATAAGGTCATATTCCGTTCCTCTGCACAGTACTTTGCACATAATCAGTTTACAATAAATTGGTGGTTGCAATGAAATGATCAAGCAAAATTTATATTCACAGAACATAGCTCTGAATTACACAAGACATTCCTATGGATGTTCCAACATTTTTGGCTATTTGACGTGACACAGCTTTTTTAAGAAGAGTATGTTCTCAGGCTCTTGATCCTTGGGATTTAAGAAGTTTCAAAATAACACATCTCAAAATTAGCCAAAATCATCTGTCTTGTTGCAGAAAACACCAGTAGGCTGATACCCGAATGAGAGCCAACACTTCAACAAAATCAAAATGCATTCAACCTTAAACTTCAGTAGTTTAACTGAAAAAAAAAATCACTGAAGAAAAAGTAGAAGCAAGAAAGGGGAAAATAATAATAATAACATTTTCAGAGTCCTAACAATTTGCCAGGTACTGTGTCAAGTTCTTCATGTGCATTTAATAAACAATATACGATAGATATGATTGCTTCCTCCTTTTCACAACTGCAGAAACCAAGGTTTAATGATGTGAAATGGCCAAGCCAGACTCTGACCATGGTTCACTAGCATCACACGGCACACGGTATTTCACTCTCCTTTTGTCTCTCCCTCCTTACCACCTGCTCACATAGAACGTAGGCTCCATGAGGGCAGGAGTTGGGACTATTTTTCCCCACACAAGTATATTTACATTACCTAGATCAATGTGTAGCAGATAGTGTCCAATAAATATTTGCGAATGAATATATAACACATATGTGAATATATTAATATATGATATATAGTGTGTAATATACATATTTACATTTGAGTGAATCAATATTTGTGATTTGCACAGAAGAGAAATATTGAAGGTTCATATGGATCTGAAAAAAGTGTTTGAGCTCATTAATTATTAGATAAATGCGAATTGTGACAAAAATAACAAACCATTTTATATCCAGCAATTTGGCAAAAAATGAAGAAATGTGACCTCTCCAAATGTCAGCAAGAATGAGGAACAACAAGGACTCTTACACACTGACAGCGAGAGTGTGAACTCGAGTCGCTGCCTTGGAGAACAACCGGGCACTCTTTCATCTGCTTCCCCCAGCTATCCCACCCCTGGGGATATACATCCCAAATTCTGCAGCAGGAGTTGTGCATATGACTGTTCATCATGGCATTGTTCATAATAGAAAAAGAATAAAAAGCAAGAACAACTGAATCATAGGGTCACATTCACAAGCAAAGAAAGGTGCTGACATTATAACTGGTTTCTAATTTGTCTTCCTAGGTACCCAGCTATTAAGCAATTGAAATATGACCAGAGCAAACTGAAATGCTGGAATATGTAATGATTATATAATGAAAGGATAATATTTTTTATATATTATGTTAAATAAAATACATTATTAAAATCAACACCACCAGTTTCTCTTTACTTTTTAAAAAATGTTGCTACTAGAAAATTTTAAGCTATATGTAGGGTTTTTATTTTTTGCTCACAGTACATTTCCATTGAAACCACTGTCCCTCTGGAGGCCCACACTTACTGGGGTGTTCTGTCCTCAGGCCACATATTCCAAATTGCAGTCAATAACCCTAAGCATATGATTCACGTGAGTCACAATCCCACAGTCCCAACAGTGGCACTTTCATTCTTACACAGGTACCCTGGCCCCGTGTGTCAGAGTCATCTTGGAACTCTTCTTTTGTTTCACACTCTGCACTGCCTTTTACTCTTATTCCAATCTCATCCAAGCTCCTCCTCTCCTCTGCTTTATACTAAAAACAGATGCCCAGGTGGTGCATAGAAATGCTGGCACATCACAGATGCAGCAGCCTTAACCCAGCCCTATCAAACCCTCACCAGCTATAGAAACTTCAACTTGGTCTTCTTGGACAGAGTTGAATCACAGGTAATTCTCAAATCAGTCACTGGCAAAGGAGACAGAAATTTTCAGGTTTGGCTTATAAACAACTTCACCTCCTGGGGCTTACCCCATGGTCCTTGACCAAAGTACCACCTAATGCCTGAACAAAACTATGGTTCTATAAATAAATAAGAAGAGATGAATGGGTAGGCAAGCAGTACGTAGCCATGTATTTTGAGTCCATAATTTCTTTCAAAGGATTTTTTTTCCAAGGGATTTATTCAATAAAAGCAGAAAACAGATGTACAAATAATTGAATGTTCAGTGAAGCATTATCTATACTAGCAAGAATCTGTAAACACATGAATCTCTAACAACAGGATTAAAGCTTAATAAAATACAAATACTTTATTCCACATGGGTCTCAATGCTCCCTTGCCCGGCTCATTGTGAGGCTGGTCAGGAGGCACGACAGAGCCCAGGACGGGGCACTGGCTGCAGACAGAGCCTCTGTGCTGCCCGAGCCCTGTTTTCCATTTGTCCTTCTCCCTTGTTCAAGGGGCAGAAGAGAACATTCAGTTCACATAATAGTATGCTTAAGAATTAAGTGAAGACAACAGATTATAGAACAGTATTATGTATATACAGTTATATTATTATAATTAAATTATGTAAAATACATAAACTTGTAGAAGGCAATGGAATTATTACTATTAATCATTTACTAGTAAACAATATTAAATTATTTTTTAAATTTTATGTACATAAAAACATTTCAAACATTTCAGGGAAGCCTTTTCTTTAAAGGAAGTTGATCATTGTTGCCTTCCTTAATAAATATGAATTTATTATACTTATTATACACTAAATTTACTTAGAATTATATTTCTACACTAGTATCTTCTGATGTTGGTTCAGAGCCCTGTGAACTGAACACTGCCTTATACTGTGGCACGCAGATGGCCCCCTCAAAGAGATCCAGGTCCCGGTTCCTGGAACCTGTGAATAGATTATCACACATGGCAAAAAGGATGTAGCAGATGAGATTAATGTTAAGGACCTTGAGATGGGGAGATTGTCCAGGATTATCCGGGTGGACTCAATATATCACATGGGTCCTTAATATCTGAGAATCTTTTCCAGCTGTGGTCTGAGGGAGATGTGACTACAAAAAGTGGTCAGAGAGATATAATGTTGCTGGTTTTAATGAGGGAAGGAAGCCATGAGTTAAAGGATGTAGATTATGTCCTCTAGAAATGGAAAAAGGCAAAAAAAAAAAAAAGCCAATCTCAGATACTCCTTCAGAGCTTCCAGAAAAGAAATGCAGCCCCGTGGATACTTGGTATTAGCCCAGTGCATCAGACTTCTAATCAGTACAACTTTAAGAGAACTTTGTGTTGTCTTAAGCCACCGAGTTTACAGTGATAGGTTAGAGAGCTACAGTAGAAAATGAGTACGCCCACAGAGTGAGCACTCAATAAATGTTGAGAGGGGTTGGGGTGGAATGAGCCTGAAAATGATTTATTCCCTCTTGGTAGGATGAAACATCTTAGCCCGTTTATTTTGTTCACTTTCTTAGAAAACTTTATCATAAATAAAGTAAAAGTAAACCTGTCCAAATTATCTCAATTTCTAAATTTGCAACATGTAAAATGAATTCTTGTTATGTAGTGACATCAGTTAGATTTCAGTATATTTGACTAAAAGGTATAAAACTATATTTTCAACTTAGTTGTCTTTAAAAATATGTGGCTAGTAATTCTTTTCTCTTCTTTTTATAAACAGTTGGAAAAGTTTATCTAGCTCTTTCAGCCCCTGTTTTCATCCAATAATGAAATATATTTGACCACTTAACCATCTTCCAGAAAGTGTTCTGAGCCTGGTCTAGAATGACCTAAAAACTCACTTAAATTACATTTTCATTTTCTCTTATATAATAAAGTACTAAATTTCTTCAACTTTTTATAATCAGGAAAATTTACAAAACCACTTATTAAAATGGGATTTAAGTCATTTTATACAGTTCTCTTTGATTATTTTTAAAAAAATTTATGAGGCTAATAATACTAAATTATTTTTATTAGGCTAATATAGGTTTCACATGGCTTACATGGGTAATTTGACTGTAATTTCCAGTAATTTACTATTGGCAATGCAGTGATTATGACATTATAAAGTCAAACTCTGTAAGCAATAGCTGGCACATGGGGAGGGACACTCCAGCTTTTTCCGGAAGCTCTGAGATGTGCAATAGGAAGATAATTTGAATTAGAGTTGTGAGCACGATACTGCCATTTCCAAATGGCAGAAGGAACAGAAGGAGGGTCCCAAATTCATCATCTATGTTTGAACATAAATGCAAGTTAGCATCTCTCTGTTGAGGTCCCTATATTTAAGGAGCTAAAAAGTGATTATAATTTTTGCAAATATTTTTTAGAGGGTCAGACTTTGGGAGAAAACCTTTGGGCATGAGTATGTAAATTTCTGGTACAATTAACTATTCCCGTAAGTCCAATTCTACTCCTTTTAGAGAGACAGCAAACAACCAAATAACAGGATGCTTGACAGCACAGAGGCTTTTTTTTTTTTGTTTTAAGCAAATGCATGCATACTCTGCATGATTGGTCTTTCCAATTGGCCTCACATAATAAGCTAGTTGTCAAAGGAGCTTTGAGACCAATTCTGGCTGATCAGAGCTGCTGCTCTTCTGCCAGCACCTTCCCCAGGAGCCATCTGACTCACCTAGGCCTCTTGCCTCTCCCCAGGTTATCAGCAGGAACAGAGAACTCTTTGTACCTGTGATAACCAGGAACACAACTTTATCAGTGACTTCTAAATTCTCTATTCCTGGCTAGTGTCAGAGGCAATTACCTTGCTTCATCTTAACTGGAAAAAAAAAAAAAAAAAGACTTGTCCCTTCCCTAGTGATAATGATCTTTTAAATGTGCAAAGCACAAACCAAAGGAAACTGTTTTCAGTATTCTGCATTTGGACTTTATTTTACTGCAGCAGGATTTACCATATTTTCAGAGTATAAGGTACACTTCCCCCCCCCCCAAATTTGGGAGGAATAATGGTTGTTAATGCTG